GAGGGAGTACTTGAGTAGAGGCCCAATGTCCACCTGCTACCTTAATAATAAACCTATAAATATATGCACATATATCTATTTCTCCATCATCATATATAAATATATTTACATATGTATATGCCTATACTTAGACCTCTATAAATGCCCTTTGCCTCCTAGTTCTTTCCTCTATTTCCTTTTACTTTCCTTTTGTCCCACTATCATACTCAGTCTTCATTTGGTTTTTAGTAATTCCTCTCGTTACATTGCCCTTGATCAAGCCCTACCAGGCCTCTCACACTTCTTTCTTATACACGTGAGTGTCTATGAATTTGTTTCTCTAGTCAGTCCGACTAACACAAGAGCCACTGATGGATTTAGAAGGTTTTATGTTTAACAAGGCAACTACTGAAGTCGCCATGATACAAAGAGGGGAGGGGCATGGGAGGAGCTTATTACAAAGTTAGCATGTGCAGTTCATGTAGTAATGTGTAGGCTACTGACTGTTGAGAATATTTAAATGAAACTAGTCACACTGTTTTGGAAATTTCACCCTAAGTCTCTGCAGAAACAACTGTCTTACCAAGTCAGGTAAGCAAACGACCTTTCACAGGAAACTAGATGCTCAGATGTCGTAGGACTGAGCAGGGCCCAAGGGATGGGTGCTTTATAAAGGCTCTCACTGATAATGCTGATAAATTTAGTGCTTCAGAGTGACCTCAAGAACCTCTCCAGCCAATTGACAGAATAAAGAGAGTAACAGAACAAAAGCAAGGGGGCAGGGAAGTTCTGACTTCCTAGAACCTCCAAACTTGCAGCCATTTTCCTAGAAAATTGTATCATGGTTCCGGAGTTGCATTTCAACATCTTACTCCAGACTGTGTTTTAGCTGTTCATGGTGGATGCGAGCATCCGAAACCCAGCTCAGTCTACCCTGTTTTGAGATTAGACCTCAGAATTCTCCAAGGCCTTCTTAGTAGGTGCAGGTCCCCAGTAGTATGCCTGGCCCATTTTGGGGAGATGGTCTGACTTCATCTTTTGCTTCTGAACAAGCAAGGAGCAGATCCCAAAGAAATCAATTACCAGCATCAGCTGGAGGGGAGCATTTATAAAGAACTCACCACACTCCCCCCACCCTCCACCCAACCTTGTGCAGATCTGTTCGATCAGAACTATCACAGACTCTCAACTAACTTTGTCAAGGCTCTTTGAGGGCAGAATAAGCAAATAGGGAGAGAACACTAGACGAGCCAGTCCAAGGGGCTTAGGGATAAGTTTCTCAAGTGATATAATTGGATAACTGGCACATTTTGACGACTGCCACATCAAAATCGAAGTTACCAAACATTATTAACATGCCAGCTGAGTTGGATCAAGTGCAATGTATCTGAGAGGAATTACTGAAAGCTGAATAGAGGGTGATCGTAATAGTGGGACAGAAGGAAGGTGAAAGGAAATAGAGGAAAGTAGTAGGAGACTATAGAAGTATAGCTATAAGTATGTATATATGTAAATATATTAATTTATAATGAAAGGGGATGGACTTTGGGCCTCTACTCAAGGCCTCTCTTAACACAAGAACACTTTGTAAGAACCTGGCACTCTTTGATACTCACCTTCCCAACACGATTGCTAAAGACAAAATGAGTGCATAAGCAAATGTGGTGAAGAAAACGGATGGTGACCAGCTATCCAAAGATGTAGCATCTGGGTTCTTAAAGGCTTGAGGTTAAGCAAGCAACCATCTAGCAGGGAAGCAAATAAGCCCCCATGGAAGAAGCACACCAGCCTGTGTGATCATGAGGTGTCAATGGGAACAAATATCAGGTATTAAAATATCAAAAACAAACAGTTTATATCAATGTGAAATATGGGGGGTTGGAGTGGAGACCCAAAGCCCATCTGTAGATGATTGAACATCCTCCCCACAGAAGGGTTACAAGGAAGGGATGATTGAACCAGCGTATAGTATAGCATGGACAAAACAGGCAACATTCCTGTAGTTCCTGAATGCTTCCTCCCCTCCACAACCATGACTCAGTTCTATCTTATGAAGCCGGCTAGACTGGAGTATACACATTTACAGATAAGAGCCCTCAACACATGAAATTCAGGACATATAAACCCTTTAAGAATAGCTATATATGGGGTTAGCTATATCATGAGGGTAGGGGGATGGTGAGGTTGGCAGGAAGGGGGAGAAAGGGGAAACCCAACACAAGGTTGGATATCCAACCTCTCCCCAGGGGGACTAATAACAGAAAGGTGGGTGAAGGGAGACATCAGGGAGTGTAAGACACAAAATAACAGTAATAAAATATAATTAATCAAGGATTCACGAGGGTGGGAGAGTTGGGGAGAGAGGGATAAAAAATGAGGAGCAGATACCAAGGGCTCATGTAGAAAGAAATTGTTTTGGGAATGTTGATGGCAACATATGTACAAGTGTGCTTAACACTATTGATTGATGGATTGTTATAAGATTTGTAAGAGCCCCCCAATAAAATGATTAATTAAAAAAAACTTAGCTAGTTTCTCTTCATGGCAACTTTTTGGAAAACAGTAGTACTCAGTGATAAAAGGTTTTAGTTCCAATGGAAGTCATGTATCTGCTTCTTTCCAAATGTGAAGGTGAACTTAACTTAAAGCTCACGACACAGATTTCAGGGACACTTGGGTGCATGGCCCCTCCTCCAAGGTTCTAAATATAATTTGAGGATATAATTTTATATTTTCTTAAGTAAGGCAATCCAAACTGCATAAGCATCACAAAATCTGAATCTGCCTCTGACTATAAATGGCAGGGTAGGTGAAAAAGCCACACCAAATAGCTCTGAATAAAATATTCTTTAATGGCTGTATTTCCTCCATATCAATGGATTCGCCAATTATTTTCTTTTCGCCTGATGCTCTGTACTTACGCCGTATATTTCTGCAGGCATTCTGATACCCAGGCAGAGACAAGATTAGCACAATGATCGTCTGGGACAAGAGCCGGTAGCAAGAACAGATGGTCTAGGCAAAAGCCCACCCAATGGGATATGGTGATGCCATGTGTGATGGCTGTTTTAGAAGTCCGAGAGGGTAGCATGCTATAGAGATTAAGTGGGGTCTCTGAAACCACACTATGTGACCTGCACTCAGATGGATTGATTTACCCAGTGAATTTAATAAAAGGGACTGATTCATCTTGAAAAGGGAAAGAAACCTGCTGCAGCTTCCCTATTCATGAGCTCATTCTCCAATTTTGGAATGTCGCTTCATGCTCAGAGCAGCAAACAGCCTCCTGGTTGGGAAGCAAAGGTTTTTTTTTGCAATACTCAGATGTTAACATTTTCTGTGCTCAGGCTATTTTTATGCAGCAGCACAGACGGCAGTGCAGGCACAGATTTCTTCAGCAGTTTTTATTATAGCAGGCGTGGGATTCTAAGTATTGTTCTTAAAACGCACATGTTTACTACCTGCCTTTGAACAGCTTGGGAACCGAGGCCATCCTTTATTTGTGATCATTCAGCTGACTCTTTCTTCTTCAGAACACACACACACACACACACACTCACACACTCACACCAAGATATAAATTGTAATTCCAAAATCCACCCTCTCGCCCATCTTTTAAAGATGAAAATGATGAGATGCTATAGCAGAATATGCATCTCAGTGAGGCGGTTTCCAAAGCAGCACACAGCAAAATGAAATACTTTGAAGTGAATCACCTAGACCCGTGTTCCTCAAACTGGGCCATCCTGCCCCTGGAGGGGGACGCTGGGGCCATCCAGAGGGTAAACTGCACAATCAGATACCTACACCTTATCCTGGATTATGGGCTACTGTACCAATGTTTTTGAAAGCCGGGGTACATTCTTTTTTCTTTTCACTGACAAAGATGTGATAGGTCAGAGAGACTAGGAATCTCTGTTTTAGGCTGATCTGGACAGGAACATGAGCCCTGTTACAGAGTGGTTTTCACTTGAGAAGTCGCCTAACTCCCTGGAGGCTTATGGATAATGGTAGCTCTCCTATACCACTGCTTTTGAACTTCGGTAGTAAAGAAGGAACAAACCGAGTATCAAGGTTGAGAAAGATATGCTGAGTGGTATCTTGTGAAAAGGTACCTCACTCAGTGAACCCAAACCAAAGTAGACGGTCTGTGGATATACTCGAGATCGCGATCGATCCGCACTGAAGATGTTCTGTCTCCCTTGGAAGATGCTGCCCTAGAACGCTCAACCAGAAGGGATTACATTTCCTGGCTTTCCTTGAATCACAGTGGAGCTATTTGACTAGTTATTACCAATGAGATATACATAGAGGCGACACAACTACCAGGCCAAGATGATGAAGAAGAGGTAAGCTTTCTTACCCATCTCCCTCACATTGAAGGAGCTCAGGTGGTGCTGGGTGGGTAAGCTATACAGTCAATGGCTCAAACCAGCTCATCGCTCTGTGGGAAAAACATGAGGTTGTCTTTATAGGACAAACTATTGAGGTTGTCTTACAAAGAATTACAGCCTTGGAAACCATGTATGTGGTTGATATAAGTCACAATCTACTCAATGACAGTGGATTTCTTTATTCACAGATGCAGGCTGGATAGCTCAGTTGAAATTAGCATAACCTCTAGTCGCCTAGATTCGAGTTGCTATGGGGCATAGAACCACCCTGGAATCACTCTGCCCTGTTAAGTGAATAAGAAATGAAGTTATATTGATGTGGACTCCTGGGGTGTTGCAGTTTTTATATCTTTATTTATTTTTAAAGGAACTCAAATCAAAGCCCACCTCACTGGCACGCAGTTGCCTCTGACTCATGGGGACCCTGTAAGATAGAGTAGACCTAACCCCTGTGGGCTGCCAAGACTAAAGCTTCATGGGGACAGATAGTCTCATCTTTCTCTCTCAGAGTGGCTGGTGATTTGGAACTGTTGACCTTGCGGTTAACAGTCCACCACACGCCCCTCTCCGCCACCGGGGCTCCTTCAAACACACACGAGTCCGTGTACACTGAACATCCCAACATACCGGTGATGTGAATGCGATACTCCTCCTTGAAGATCTTCTGGAAGAAAGGGATCTTGAACTGCATGTGAGGCGTGTGCAGCCCCGGGAGATTGACATCGACGTCGCCCATGAAATGGGGGAATTCCCAGTCCTGTTGGAGACAAATCATCGCGAAGACACAGTTGTGATTTGTTTTACTTCAAAATGGCGAAACACCCCAAATTGACTTTTTTTTGATAAGCGCTTATTTTAAAATCATTTAAATGCAGCCAGCTGTTGGACGCATCCGTTTAGTCTTGTGATGGTTCTTTTATGCACATTAGATCACTGTATGCGTTCAAAATCAAAATTAAGTCGTAACTTATATCCTACGATTTGCTCTTAATGTGGTAATAAGGAACCAATACAGAATTCATTTGCATCTCTACATGTTTATGCCTTTCATTCTGGAAAATTGATCTTAAACTTTTATAGGTAGAAAGTGATTCGAATTTTTAAAATATGATGTAATTCTGTTATATATTTTTGCTACTTTAGAAACACATGAGTCCTTTAACAACCTATTTTATGTAAGAACACAGTAAAACAAATGTTTCCAATGGAATCGAGGGACTTATATCCATCATCTCTGCTGCTCTTTGACAACCCAGCATCGGTGTGAGCCACACAACGGAGGGCTTTCAGTAGCAGGCAGGGAGACCAAGATGAGCTTGATTCCCAAGTTGCCACTGGCAGTGTGATTACTGCGCTGGCAAAATTGGTTGGGTTACTCTCCCTCTCATGAGGAAGCAAACAGATGCAAATGGAGCTATTTTTAGGTGTCTCACCTGCTCTTCATTTTTAGATGTTGTTGTTGTTGTTGTTAGTTACCACCAAGTGGATTCTGACTCATGGCGACCCCATGTGGTTGCCATTTTTAGATAGAACATCAAGTTAACGGTCTAACTACGATGAGGAAAGAGACAAGGCTAACTTTGAGGACACATGTGAGATACGCCCATACGGATGACAATCGACATTTTATTCTTCTTAAAAATGAAATAATCAGCTCTCTATTTAGAGATTTTTAAGAAGAATTTGAAAGGAAAAATACCCATTGGAACTTTCCGTTCATTATCGTAATAATAAAAAAACCCTTTTCCTAACATTTGTATATATGTAGTTGCTGGAGGGATGCGAATAATAGAGTCTGGACTTTTTAGGTGCTCCATGTCCTACTGCACTCCCTCCTCTGAATTCTGGTTCTGCACTGATGGGCTCTGGAGGACAGGGATATATGTCAGCGATCGTCATCAGGTATGGCTGCAATGCCTGTCCATTTCCTTGGCCTACAGATCACAGCCAGCTGCGGCCATAGGAAAAGAGAATCAGTAGTCAATAAACAGATAATTTGGGAAATTCAAAAAACCCAGGCATTTGAGCTGAGAGAATTGCTGGAGGGCATTGAGTGGGTTCTGCTTCACAGCAACCCTATGCATGACAAAACACTGCCACATCCTGTGCTGTCCCATGTCCTGAGCTATGTGTGAAGCCATTGTGACAGCGGCTGAGCCAATCCATCTCCTGGAGGAAACCAGGGACATGTTTAATCATCTTATTAAGTGAAAAGGGACTGGTCATACTACCTGACAATGAACGCTTAGATTACAGTGCACTCACTTGCTTTCTCACGGACGCTGTTTTTTCCTCTCTGTCACATGGAAGCCTCTCGACAAGAGAATCAAAATGGAATTCAGCCTTTTGCTAAAAGACAGCTGATGAAAAACTATGCTGGAAAAATAAAGGGACTGATAACTAGAGTACCCTTCACTTGCCCGGGATAAACGACACAAAGCATTTCCAACAGAGCAATTATCTTTTTTACTGCTTGATTTAAGGAAGATAATTATTCTTAGTAGTAATTGGGCAAGTATACTTAAGTCTGCTTCTTTTGAGAAAGGGATTATTGGACCGCTTCCATTCGGCTATGAACTAAAATTTTCTACTGGGCATGAAATTTGTTTTAGGTTGAAAGGAGTCTCCGGAGATTCTTTGCAGACTGTGATCAAAACCTCACTCACCAAAGAGAGGTCCTTGGTTTCCCCGCAGTTATACTGGACACAGAAAGGAAACAGGAAGGGAAGGGAAGAAAAAAAGGTAGTCTTGCCCTTATATGTGTGTGTATACATATCTCTACAGGTATAGATTTATTAAAGAAGGGGTAAAAGTAGGAAAAGGATAAAAGTCAAAAGAAGTACCTGGTACCATGCATGAACTTACCAACAACAAAAACACACACCATCGCTTGAGAAAGTGGGCAGAGGTCTGTGTTTCATTAATTCAGTCCGTCAGATCTACTTTATTTTCTATTGCTACCACATCTTGCATTTCAAACTCCTAGTCTACTGACTCCCTGCCTCTGTTCTTCCTCCACTACTCTGACTTTTGTACTTAAATTCCTGCTCCTCAGACCTCTGTCATTGTTCTTGAAACGGACCTGACCTGGTTTGAAATAGAATAGGAATCATCACAATTGCTGCCACTTTTTTTAGCAGGATGTTTAAGGCTGATGTTAATGGAATATGAGTATTTGAGGCTGGTGAGACCTCAGGTCTTTATTTAAAGGAGGCAGTAAGGAGACTGAAGGTGCTTTGTTGAATCTCCCTAAGTTTCCAGCTCTTATATTGAGATTATCCATGCATCCCAATAGCAACTAGCATATTGCGGGAGCCAGCAGCACCTTGCTGGAACCACTATAATTTCTGACAGTGAATTCGCGAAAGGTGATCGGCCAGTATAGAGGACACAGCTGCCTCAGGTCCAGGAGAAAGAGGAAGAAGATCCCCTCCTTTCAGCCATCAGCCATTGTACAAGTTCCCAGAGGGCTCTGACTGGCACTTTCTCTCTGACGGCGCTGGGAGCAGGTGCAAAGAGAAGGGGGTGCTTCCTTCTCAGAGGCATGGAGCAGTGCCTTCATGAAGCCAAGAGGCAGGGGCAGAATGGTTTCTCCTGTAAAATGGTTTGCCCTGTTATCTCTAGAAACAACTGTAAAAGGCTGAAGTAGAAGGGACTTCAACCACAGGGTGGCATCGTTCAAATAGGAGCTGCTGAGCAAGAAGCATGTGTTAAGAAAAGCTTGAGGAAATCCATGCACATTTTGAGCACTTATAGGTGCTAGCATTATCTATCTATCGCCATACAAAACAATCTTGGAGGCTTGCTATTATTTACCCATTTTACAGATGAAACCATTTTGTTTCAAGAGATTATCACAGAGCTCAGGTTTTAATTGGCTCTGAAAAAGAAGTGGGGATTTCTTTTTCCTGCTAAGGGCCATTTGGATAATTATTTACAACACCATTCCTGGGCCATCTTAGTCAAACATTTAGCCCATCCCTAATGTGGTGGCTGTACCTATTGTCCCTTGGTGAGGTGAATGATGCTGGCTGGCATTGATGCTGATATGGGTTTTATATGACCTCCGGGCCATGTTACCTGCCTCTCCCATGTCTGTAACTGTGATGTTATGTCACCTATTGTCACCCTTCGTTGCTGTCGGTTTTTTGCTTTTTTTTTTTTTTGGTCATTGTTTTAGAGTTTTTTTTACCTCTGAGGATGATTACCTGTCCCTATTCAAAAGGCAGTTCAATGAGGTTCTTTAAACTACATCCTTCTTTCCCTTAGCACAGGTTGCCAAACTTACTTGGCCTATTGTCCAATTTTCAGAAGGAAAAAAAATTACCCAGCCACCTATCCTTGGGAATGGAAACCTTTGTTCTGTAGCCCACAGGAACCCTCCTCCACTGCTGGTGGTCGTGTAGATTTGTACAGCCACTGTGGAAAGCAATCTGGAGATACTTAAAGAAAATGGAAATTGATCTACCTTATGACCCAGCCATCCCTCTACTGGGCATAAACCTGGTGGAAGCAACAAATAAAACACGACCAGTCATCTACGCTCCAATGTTTTTTGCGGTACAATTCACAATCGCAAAGACTCTTGGAAACAGCCTAAGTTTCCATCTATAGATGAATGGATGAGTAAACTCTGGCACATACACACAATGGAGTACTATGCAGCACTGAAAAGCACAGGCGATCACATGAAACATATTGCTTCGTAGGAAGAGCTGGAAGGATTCATGTTAAGGGAGGTAAGCCAAACTCAAAAGGACAGGTATAACATGAGTTCCTGAGGTAAGTACAATCAGCACGCCAGAGATTGAAGAATAAACACCTATCTCGTAATAAACGGGTGGAAGCATAGACAGTTGGAGGGAGGGCAGGCCACACCTAGGGAGGTACATGAGAGTCCAACATAAAGAAGGGGAAGGTGGGCAAGTGGAGAGAGAAGCAGGGTGGGGAGAAACTGAGTTGATGGCATGGGGGGAACAGGGCACTAACCCACCCAGGGGGAGAGTACTGGTTGTGTCCCCACAGAACTGGAACGTGCACACAGACCCCACCAGGACACACCAAACCAGGAGGGCAACGTAACACACGGAGGAATCCACAAAGAGACTGGAC